GGTTTAATGGCACTATGCCCTAAGGAAGAAGGAAAGGTTGTGGCTGAGCAGCCAGAGTCTCTGCAAGAGAGCGGAGCGTTAGTAACATCCACACCAGACAGCGGTTCCCAGCGGAGAGAGGGCACTGCACCCCTAAGCCACCCAACTCCGGTATTACAGCGCCCACCAGCCCACGTTGCTCAGATGCGGGCATACGCGCCCCGGCTGCAGCGGCTGAAGGAAAAGAGGAAGGCCAGTTTTCCCCTGTGGAGCTAGCGCACAGCGCAAGCTTGCTCAGCGAAGGGAGCCAGGGCTGCAGGACCTGTCTTCTGACAAGGCTACTGCCAGGCCATCTTCCTAACGTAACACATTTTGCTCCAAGGCAAGCAGCCTCCTGTGCAGCACTTGACTCCATTACGCTTGAAAAACGGCTGCTTGACACAGGATCATTGCACAGATATGGGACTCACTTCTAGGAGAGGGAAAGGAAGACTGATTTGCACGCCTGCCAGTCTATCAGCTCACTGCCCTGCAGCACACCTTTGTTTGCTTTTCTGTTCAACCTCTACAAAGGCAGGATGATTGGGGACCATCCCCTTCCCTCTTGCGTAGCCAAATGCTTCAGTGTCTCTTAGGATGCACTTCCCAAGTTCATCACCCCACGACTGTTAGTCCAGGACATGAAACACACAATTCCAGCACGATACAGGATTTCCAGAGTCCCATCTCACGCTGAACTGTGCCAGAATTTAAGGAAATTTAACACCTTTTGGGGCACCCAAGGGTCTATGCAGGAACCTCAAGGCTCTCTGTACCCTTCCTCTTGGATGGTGCTTCAGAAGAAGTCAAGAGTTTGGCATTCCAAGTGGTTTTACTCCAAGATCCCAGAGCCTTCCTATTTCAGTCCTAGATTAGTCATGTGGTGTACTGGTGGTTTAATAAGTCGTCCATCTCTCCCCTGAAGCCAATGGCAGAGCAAAGGATTAGTGCTTCGACCCCATGAGATAAAGCAAGTAAGCAGGAAAGTGCTGTTGTTCCATCTTGTATTGCCACTGACTTAATGTTTAAGGAGGGCAGTGGCTCAGCTGCCCAGCACTACATATATTGTATATATACAAAGAGACCTAGAGATATGCTACCCCGAAGGGTAGTAACAGCCAAGTTGTCTTCAGGGAGAGAGAGAGAGTGTGGAAGGCTGGTTGCAATTTCCTTCTCTTAGTTGTTCTTCTTATCCTCAGGAGGTGCATAAGGAGGTGGCTGATCCTGGAAGGAGATAACAGTAGAGTCAACAACCCTGCCTGTTTTCTGATGAGTTCTTCCCAGGCATTCCCAGGCTTGGCTTACAAGAAACAACTGCTCTTCAGTGAGCTACACAGAGCCAGGTGCTGTGTTTTAAGCTGTCATTTCACCACACCATTCCTCTCTAGTATCAGTTATGCTGCCTCCCATAATGTTTCTAGTGAAGGTCCCCTCAAAACCAGGTAACAAATGGTCGATTGCAAACGGACCGTTTAATCTGTTTTAATTGCCATCCTCCCTTCACTTCCAGGGCTTTGTCTCTGTCAACGTTCATGGCTCTGACCCCGCAGACAGCAAGCCTCTGGGCTGAGGGCCAGCTTTGCTGCTCCATTGGTCTCCAGCCCACCACAGAGCCACACGAGGCAGTGAAGGGCACAGGCAGACTGGCTGTCACATAGCAGACAGAGGCTACAGCCTACCTACCGGCTGCCACTGACTGAACAGTAAGAGACCTCCCCGTCTCCATGCGGCCCAGAAAAAAATGAAAACAAACCCCACATGCTCTCCTCCTTCAGTGACCTGCTCTTCTTTAACTCTCCCCACTTCCAGGCCCAACAGGAGAGAGCTTCTGTCGTACTGAATGGCTGTTACTGGATGAATGTTAAGGCTCTCCTCCTTTCCTGATTGAGGATTTAACAAGCCTTCTTCACGGCACTATCATCCACACCTCCCAGGAAAATGCATACTTTCTGTGCATTTTCAAAGTGAAGGCATGCTAGGCTCTGCTAGGAAAGCAAACCTGTCTCTATTAGTGATGGGAGAGGGAGCAGGCACACGCAGGCCGCAGGCGCAGTACTCACCACAGGCATGTACACGTTGTGTGGGTTGGCAGGGTTGTAATACGCACTGGAAGCAGCTTCCATGGCCTTGCTGCCCCCTAGAAAGGAAAGGGAAGAAGCAAGCGTAGGACACGCTCATCTACATGCCTTAGGCAGTGGCCCCAGCCCCAGAGCCTTCTCCCCAGCCATAGCTCTTTTGAGGAGTCAACAAATGTCCAAAGAGCTAGCAGCAACCGCAGCAAGCTGGGTTTGAATTTAGAGCAGCTCAGGAAAGCTGCAAGCTGGCTAGAGCTGACCATAAGCTGGGCAATGCAGAGCTGAGCAGCTCCCCCCACACTCTTATCTCAAATAATAGATCAAGATGACTTTGAGCTCCTGCAACAGCAACAACAGCTTCCCCACCCCACGCTGTGCCTACACCGCCACCCGCAGCCCAAGCACCCTTTTGCATCCAGACCCTGGCAGCCCCCCAGTCCCATTACCTGGCATCCCCGGGCCCACCCAAGCTGGGGGAGCTGAGGGGGCTGAGGGTCCTGCAGGAGATGGCTCCGAGTAGGGGGGAGGAGGTGGCACATACATGGGGTTCATGTTTGGAAGTGGTGGGTAAATA